TATATGCATAATTTTTTTCCCCAACAACAAATCAACAAGAGAAAGGTCACCCAGAAGAAAAATGGGCAAGATGTTTGAACAGGCACTTCACAAAAGAGGAAATACACATGGCCAATAAAATTCTGAAACAGTTTTAACATCATTGTTTCAGGGAAATGCAAACTAATACCATAGTAAGATAACACTTCACACCCATCAGAATGGCTAAAATGAAAAAGACCCACCTTACCAAGTATAGGCCAGAAAGTGAAATAACAAATGCTATAGGAGTAATCAAACAATTTGGTGTTATCTGCCAAATTTGAAAATACAACTATTCTATGAGCCATCAATTCTATTCCTATGTCTTTATCCTACAGAAGCACACAAACAAGTGCACCAGGAGATACAGATATATTCCCAGAATTATTCTTGTAATGCTTCCAAACTGGAAATAATCCATATGCTCATGAACATTAAAATGAATACATCATAGTATATACATGCAGTAGAATAGTACACAGCAGTGAAAATCCGTACACCACAGCTCTATGCAGAGAGATGAAGGAATGTCATAAACATAACGTTGAGTAAGGAAGCCAGCCACGAAATAATCCACACTGCGCAATCTGTCAGTTTAAAAAGGAAAAAGCACATTGCTTGTGACCTGAGGTGCTGTCACCAGAAGGGGCACTTGTCAGGGGAGGACTCCTGGAGCAGAACCAGCAATGCTCTATTTCCACCGGAGTCATGGTTACCCAGGTCTGTATCACAGGAATTTATCAAGCTATTCTCTTATGTTTTACATATTTTTCTGTACATCTGTCCTGTTTCACATCAAAAAGCTTTAAGGAACCTCAGTAGCTTACCCCGAGACGAGCATCTGCCCATTATGAGAAAATGCACACGCCAGAACAGGAGCCCGGTGCCCACACAGTGTACTCTTGTATTTTAGTTCAAAACCTGCAAATAACAGGGCGAGAAACAGTATCCAGCTGACAATGCTTAGGATTCATTTTTAAGTCAAAACTGTTTCACTTATTTATTCAATCATCTTTGAGGGCCTAAAGGACACAAATGGAAAACATCTTCATGCAACTCAGGTATTGGAATGTAGTATGGTTAAGTGGTCTCAAAAGTTCAATGCTGGGTAAAGAAAATGGTGTGNAGATTTCAGTGAAGCTTTCACAAGATATCTAATTTTAAGCAATATAATATCGATAACCCTTCATGATACAAATTGCAACATGTACTTTTTACTTACTAAGTAAGCTGACTTGTTCAATGGGATTGATAACAATGTTGTAATGAGACGGGAAATAAAAGATTTGATTTTTGGAAAGGTGATATTAAGCCTTCTTATGCTAGTTGTTACTGGACAAGAGAGGGTTGTTTGTTAAAGCCACTCCTTATTAATGACAATTTATTTATTCTGACAATCCTAACGCATGACAATCTATTATTCACATTTATGAAATAGATTTAGAAAATAAGCAAGCATCTTGTCGGGAAGAGGAGGGATACTTACTTCCCACCCCTTCTGGAATAAGATTCCTGGGCTCTCTTCTCCCATTATAATGCTACAAAATGAACTTAACACAAAAACTATATGAGTCTCAACACTTCTTCCACGATTCAGAGAATGAGGGCATGTCAGGATCTTGCAGTGTAATTAGATTATCACTATGAACATCAACCATCAGAATAGAGAATTAAAACACCTTTAAGGGCACAAGCATTGTTTAATACTTCCTTTTATATGCCCTACTGCAACTGGTAGAGAGCTGGGCATGAAGAGAGCCATAAATACTTGATGAATTTCATAGATTTTGCCAATTCACCTCTCTACTTAAGAGTGGAATGCACGATGTGTTCCTCAAAAACAACAGAAGGAAATCCAACTCTGTATAAGCTTCCCACTAATTTCAAGTATAGGGCAAAGGAGAATGACTATAACTGCTTTTTGATGATAAACTCTTTTCATCTTTTGAGATGAAAGAGTCACATCTAAAATAATGACAACATAGCTGATTATTTGGCCAGGATTGGAGAATCTGGGGAAAGAACAATCAGGCTTAGTCCAGGACATTTTAAGCAGAAGTTAGGAGCCTCAATATCTTGGCTGGAGCCAAAGCTGCTCTGAAGGGACATGAATGTAGGTTTGAATGCTACAGCCTGTGAGCGCAAACAGGAAAGTTTTAGAAAATCCAATGGCAGGAAGGAGAAAANAGTTCTTACAAATTCCTATAATAATCTCCTTTAAAGCATATATCAATCTGCTTCAGAGAATTTACACATAAGGTTAATATCTATTTCAAGGTTAATATCTATTTCGGGTAAAATAAAATACATAACTAAAATTGACATATACTTCACCTACTAGCAGAAAATTCTTAATTTACCTACTTCTAGAAAATTTTTAATTTACAAATGTAGCTCACATTATATTGTTATAGGACAGCACTGGTCTGGCAGCAAGACAGGAGCGGGGAAAAACAGAAATTCCATCCTAACATAGAAGACAAAAATAAAAACACGAAACTTCCCAATTCACTCTATGTATTTAAAACCAAGAGTCTATATTGAGGAGTTTTTTATTCTTTTTCTAAACATGAATTGTGTTGACAAACATCTTATTTTATAAATGTAGCTTTTGAAAGATTAAATAAATGAAAAAAGTAGCTGCTGTTTCCAGGGTTTTTTTTATTTCACACTTCTATTTGAGTATCAATATACTGCATTTAAAAAAATCACAATTCAACCAATAGGGTTAAATCCTCTAAACTACCCTATCAAGGAATCCAGATCTATTGTACCAAGCTGAGTCATCCCCTACATAAACTAAAGAACCTGATTTTTCCATATAATATTTCTTTGGAATTTCATTTTGACTAAAAAACATGAAGAAGAGTGATTCCTTAAAAAGCATGAATTAAAAGGGGGCCCTTTGTTTTACTAATTATGCAATGAAAATGAATAAAAGAAGCAAAAGTCATATAAAAATTACAAATGGGATTCACTAATGCTTAAAAGAATAAATTAACTAACCAGAAACTGGCTGTGAAGAAAAATCGCAGCAGGTAATTCCAAGATCATGTGCTTTTTCACTATGCAGACACCTCATTTTATCATCCCACACTGTTAAATCTCCACACGAGGAGCCAGTGACAAAGAGGCTTCCATTAGGAGAAAATGCACAGGCCACCAAGGAGCCATCCTTAACACTACCACATCTAGAATAAAAGCAAAAAAAAAGGAGGTTTTCATTTCAGAGCATCTTTTACTTTATTTCACAATCTCTAAGAGCAGCTTGATAAAATGGCTATCACAGAACTAAAAAGAAAGGGCAATAGACGCCTATAGAAATAAAATATCATTGATATGCTACAAGCTGAGATGAGCTTTCTAAAAATAAGAGGATTTAAACATTATCTTAACATGTTCAAGCCTAAACCATAGGGATCCAAACTGAAGTTCACATATCTTCATGTTTTTCCACATAGCAAGTCAGTATGAACATATTAAAATCTTCAAAACTTAGCAAAAGCAATGACAACCAACAATATCAATTATAGTTGCTTATTTAAAAAAAAACACACATGAAACTATTTTTATTGAAAAACATGATACTGGGATCAAAAGTACTTTCAACTTTTGTATTAAAAACACCCAGAAGCAACAGTAAGGACTTTCAGCTTCAGATATAAATTCTTTATGAAAAGAAAATACTATGAACAAGTTAAAATTACTGTATCTTGGGAAGATAAAGAAGCACTGTGCTACTGTACTAATATCATTCTGTTAGGACAAATAAACTGGTAAAAATCCAACAATTAGTGCAGTGTCCCCTCCAGTGCTTAAATCTATTGCAATAAAGGCAGAATTCATCAACTGATAAGTGAAAAAGAAGATTCCTTAGCTGACAGCTGTATTTCATTCAAACGTTTCATTGTTTCTGTGCTTTCTCTTTAAACTGTTTATTAACCACCACCTGAAAACACCTTCTACCCAAAGACCTAAGCCTAAATAAGCAACAGTTATTTAGCAGCTGGTATTTGTGCTCTGAGTGATGCTGGGGGACAGTGAGAGGGGAAGTTACATTGGGGTATTTTAATTGGTAACATTTAAATATTTATTATTTTTAAAGTACTGAGTGTCACTGAATTGTACACTTAAAAAACGGTAAGTTTTATGTTATAAACATTTCACCACAATATAAATACATAAAAGTACATGGTTTTAATGTTGGTAAGTTGTAACAGAACATTACTCATGTAAATTAATTGATGTTTTTTTAATCCAAAAGGAGTTTTTCAGGTGCTGGGTTTGTTTGTTTGTTTTAGAAGAGATACTACAACACCACACTAATCACAAGGTTCTTTTTTCTGGGCTCGGTCATTTCACATTCACCCAGCAAGAATTCTCATCAGGAAACATCTGTGTCTCTTCAGTGAGACTTACCTACAATTACTCAATTGTTAAGAATACTTGAGCCACAAGCTACAAAAATAAAACCTAAAATTACTAATCTTATTCAAAAGACTGTTTTCTTTGCCTAACACAGTAAAAGTCCATAGACGTGTAACACGATTAACCCTTATTTTACAAAAGAAAGATTGAAAATTTAAAACTCTCTGAGCCAAGCAAATCTACTATGAAAATCATACTAAACATGTTTTTATGATCTTCAGAAGACAGGTCAAAATATTTTTCCTTGCAATGTCTGAAAATTATCTGATTCTCAGAGTCATCAAAATACGTGGTTGTTGTTTTTTTTCTTTTTTTGGTAGGCCTGTTAAAAGGACTGAAAATGGAAAGGGTTTAAATAGTCATACCTATATAACTTGTACGACTGCGCATTCCACAAAACAACAGTTCCATCAGCTGCCCCTGACACCAAACAGGTGGAGTCTGGGGAAAAGCGGCACACCCTCACAGGGCTCCCACTGGGCTGTTCCAGCACTGCCAACGTCTGTCCATTCTGAGTATTCCACAGTACTGTGGTACCATCTGTTGAACATGAAGCCAAAATATGTCCTGAAGGGGAGAAACAGCAGCAATGGACAGCGTAGGTGTGAAACTTCAATGGGGAGTGGAGCAGTTCAGTAAAGTCATTGAGGGAGTACAGGCGAATTGTCTTGTCCAAGGAGCAAGTAGCCAACAGGGAAAAGGAGAAGGCACAGCAGTTGACATCATCNGCCAATCAGCAAATTCAGATGGGTTTCACATGGACCACCACTCCCTTACTGATTTTTGTAATTTTTCACTTCTCTGACTCTACAGAGCCCCTACTTACTTTCCCCCTCCCTCTTCTCTCATTCTCCACTTAAAACACCCAGTCACCTCTGTATAAACTGAAGTTGTGTTCAGTTCATGCTGGACTCTTTTCCCACCGCAATAGTGTATCACTGATTAAAATCTGTCCTTACAAAAAATAAAAAAAAAAATCTGTCCTTACCACTTTAACTAGTGTCCAGCTTTGTTTATCTTTGACAATAATTATGAACAAAATGTAGTCTGTGGTTTAACTGGAGCTTAATAGGTAACAAATAATAAAATGAGAACATTTTTAGGCATCTGAAGCAAGATGCCCAATTGACCATGTATTTCAGGTTTCCCATTAAAATAGTAATGAAGGAATTAATAAAGATATAAATTCACATCAATGAAGAAAACAGGAAGGGGGAGTCACCAAACCAGAAATTGAAACCAATTCCAAAATTGGGAGGGCAGAAAGCAAATTAATTGATGAGGTAGTATAGTGGGGTAACAGCCCAGAATACCAAGAGAAAGCTCATCTGCCCTAGAAAGCCCTCAAAAGACTTGAGACTGTCAACAGCTGGGGAAAAGAAAGTCAGAATGACACAGATATAACCTGGAAACAGCAAAATTAACTAAGTCTGTTTTTGAAACACTTAATGTCTGCCTCCAATCCCTCCCTGACCCCACCACAGCATGCTATTCAAAAGCCGGATGCTTCTCTCCAGGCAAAGCATTTCCAAGGAAAATAACTACGTACTGCCTCGGTTGCTCCATGGCGGCTCGAGCTACACAGGACCCAAATTCTCCAAGCCCTGAATCCCCCCCCAAATAAGAGCCAACAACCCACCACCTTTATCCTAAATGGAAGCCAGCAACAGCAAACCATGTGCAGAGCTTCTAAACATCGTATTATTGTCTAATTTTCTTAAACGTAAATGGAATACTAAGGTTCACCAGACATTTAAAGAAGGTAACCATATGAAAGAGAAAGATCAGAGTAAACAAAAACCAAGGGCCCAAGAGCAAACAAAGATGATCAGGAAACAGAAGGGAACTACAAAACCAACAAAAAAAACAAAACAAAAACCTCTAATTGGTATCCCGAGAATTCTGAGAGGATCTTGTATTCATAAAATAAAAGGACACTATGAAAAAAGATACAAAGGAAAAGAGGAGCTTTTAGAAAATGAATATGCTTGATGGCATAAAAAATTCAAAAGAAGGTTAAAAGATAAAGCTGAGGAATTTTTCCATGAAGCAGAAAAAAAGATAAAGAGATAAATGTGTGTGTGTGTGTGGGGGGAATAGACAAAGAATCATGTCAGGAGGGCCAACAATTAATGTGAGGTATGAAAAGAGGGGAAGTGGAGAAGAAATTATTAAAGAAATAACATAAAGGAATACAGTATTCCAGTATTGTTTCTTGACTGATGGGTCACCTGAAGGAGTAGTATAATGCATGAGGAAAAGATCCACATACTAGCAATAAACAATAAGTACACTGAATAAATTTAAAATGCGGTGGTATAAATAATATTTGTAGAAACTGTGAAAAACACCAAAAGTTGATAAAGTGCGAAGTGGTTACCTCTGGTAAACAGGATTGTGTGTGGTAGAGGTGACGCCACAATCAGCAGTGAGCATACAATTTTTAAATCGTGTGTTTATGTACTACTCTGATTAAAAGTTCTTAAAACACTTTTGTAATCTCTTTTAGATATCCAGATTCCTTAAAAGATTAATTAAAGTAGAAACTTTATCTGAGATACAAATAATTTTAGAGAGCTACTAGTTGAATACATACCTGAGATATGGGTAAAAGAAACCACCCAAATTTTGATCTGGCAATCCTGACCACATGATGCCAATCGAAAAAACTGAAGACCTTGATCTCCACCTAAAAATGTAAATTTGTTAAAAATAAATACACAAGAATTGATAAGAACATTTAAACCAAAACATTTTTAATTTCTTATACTGAGATCTGTTCATTCTATTCATTTAAACCATATTCACAAGCAATATTAATTACCTCATACCATATAATGAAGTGTCAGTTAAAGAATTTCTTTTGAACAAGGTACTTCAAAGGATTATAACTTTGGCTCCTGAAGTTTGCACAAGAACGTGTTCTTCTATGTACCTTCCACTAAGAATATAACTGAAGGATGCAGGGGCCAATGTTGAGACTCTAAGCCGAGGGAATCCTCCCACCCAATTTTAGGGTCCACGAGTTAGCACTGATAGAAAAAAATTAGGGAGAAAAGTCGTGTATGATATGAGTGTTAAATGCTTAATTCTTTCCAACTTTTTAAGGGATATATCCATTTCTTAAAAAGCTGTCTATAATTTATATGGAATAACAATGTGAGATTTTTTTCCCCACATGATTTAATCAAGACAAAGGCTTGAATTGTATAAATCCAAAATAACATCAATTCAGTCCATTTGATTTGGTGGAAAATATTACACAAATTAGGAAATGTAATCAGTAAATTTGGTGTCCCAAAACACCCCCACAAGTTTTATGCTTACATAGATAATTTCAGTGTTTGTTATATTTCCACTAGATAAGCTCCTAACTACTTGTGGGTAATGTAAATATTGATACCATCAACTTAATTTTATATGAGTTCCACCTAATGCCACAGATGCCATTTCATCAAAGGAAGTTTTGGCACTCATATG